CTATACCAACTCATATGGGATGCAGCAAACGAGAGGAAACTCATAGCAATACAGGCTTACCTTAACAAACAAGAAAAAGCCCAAATAAGCAACCTCAAACTATGCCTAACAGGATTAGAAAAATAAGAAAAAACAAAACCTAAAGTCAGCAGAAGGAGGGAAATAATAAAATCAGAGCATAAAAAAATGAAATTGAAACTGAAAAAAAAAAACGATAGAAAGGATCAATGAAACAAAGAGCTGGTTCTTTGACAACATAAACAAAATTGACAAACAGTTAGCCCGACTCACCAAGAAAAAAAGAGAGAAGGCTCGAATAAATAAAATCAGAAATGAAAAAGGAGAAATTACAATGGATACCACAGAAATACAAAAGATTATAAGAGAATACTATGAAAAACTATATGCCAACAAGTTGGACAATCTAGAAGAAATGGATAAATTCCTAGACTCATACAACCTCCCAAAACTGAATCAAGAAGAAATAGAGAACATGAATAAAACAATCACAAGAAAAGAGATAGAAACAGTAATCAAAAACTTCCCAAAAAATAAAAGTCCAGGACCAGCTGGCTTCTCTGGAGAATTTTACCAAACATTCAAAGGAGATTTAATACCTATCCCTCTCAAACTATTCCAAAAAAACAGAGGAAGATGGAACACTCCCCAACACATTCTATGAGCCCAATATCACCCTGATACCAAAGCCAGACAAAGACAATGCTAAGAAGGAAACCACAGACCAATATCCCTGATGAACATAGATGCAAAAATCCTCAACAAAATATTGGCAAACCAATACAGCAATACATTAAAAGTATCATACACTATGATCAAGCTGGATTTATACCAGGGACAAAGGGGTGGTTTAACATCCACAAATCAATGTGATACACCATGTAAACAAAAGAAGGACGAAAAACCATATGATCATCCCAATAGATGCAAAGAAGGCATTTGACAAGATCCAACATCAATTTATGATAAAAACTTTCAAAAAATGGGTATAGAAGGAAAGTACCTTAATATAATAAAGGCCATATATGACAAACCCACAGCCAACATCATACTCAATGGGGAAAAGCTGAAAGCCATCCTTCTGAAAACAGGAACAAGACAAAAGTGCCCACTCTCACTCCTCTTATTCAACATAGTACTAGAGGTTCTGGCCAGAGCAATTAGGCAAGAAAAAGGAATCCAAATAGGCAACAGAGAAGTGAAACTCTCTCTGTTTTCAGATGGCATGATCTTATATATAGAAAACCCTAAAGGATCCATTGGAAGACTATTGGAAATAATCAACAACTACAGCCAGGTGGCAGGGTACAAAATCAACTTTCAGAAATCAGTTGCATTTCTATATACCTACAACAAACTAACAGAAAGAGAGCTCAAGAGGACAATCCCATTTACAATTGCAGCAAAATGAATAAAATATCTAGGAGTAAATTTAAC